AGTAGCCCTTTGAGCTTAAAACCTTTTCTTGTCAACCTATTGACTGATTTGTGTGATGATTGGGGGATTGGTGGTATTTCTTAATATGGTGGATATTGAGTTGCATTGTTATTTGCTTGACCAATTAAAAAAAAATGAAAAGAAAAATGAGAGCTCACAAGGCGATTCGAATGGATTCTGCTCCTCTTACTAGTCGATTCATGTTGACGGGTAATGAGCATTTGGAAACTACTGTAGGACACTTGGATGACCTCCAATGTTCACACCTACAGAATGTTGTCCTTTTGATTCGATCTTGTTCAGAAAAAGTTACTCTCCGAATAAAAAAAAGATATCTATAAAAAAAAGAAGAAAAAAAAAATGGAGAAAAATTGGGTCAAGTGATGTTGCAATTCGATTATAGCAGTGAGGTGTTGTTTGTGGAGTTGTTTGGTGGATGGTGATGTGCTATATTGTTCATTCCAGTTTGGTAGCGGAGAACTCAAGTAATTTATTTGCTCGAGAAATTTGTTGTTTATTTGAGCTTCTTTTCTGGCATATATATATATATCCTTCCTTAACCCCGCATTTCAACCCGTGAAGTCCTCTTGATTCGCAAAATTTTGAACTTTGATTGTTTTTGAGTAATTTAGACGATTGGCAAGCATATGTTGAAACTTGAATATCGACCAATTTTGAGCGTGCCTATCATATATTCATGCAAGAAAATGAGTGAGGTTTATATTACAGTCTATACGTTTGAGAGTTTGTCATTTTGAGGCCAAGTTGATATTTGAGACATATGGCCATACGGTCTTTGGAATTCGACTTGATTGAGTTAGGAATTTTGAAGCTCTTCTTATTTGAAACCATATCCATGCTCGTGTCTTGTTTTCTTTTCTTTTTGTTCGGGACGAACAAAGGTTTAAGTGTGGGGGAGTTGTTTGTCCCATTTTTGTTGCATTTTTTGCTATTATTTTCTCATTCTTTTTCCCCCATTTTGAGTCATTTAGTTGGTTTTAGGTTCTTTGTGTCATTTATTATGTGCTTTGCCTTCATTTGAGTGTTGCGGTGTTTTCTGTTTGTTTTCCGGTCTTTTTCTGTTCTCTTTTTGTTTTTGGTGTGTAGTTTGGAGACCTCGGGAGAACAGGTTTTCAAGAATCTTTTGGGTAAGCTGACACCATTAGAAAGAGGGGTTCGTTAGCTACGCGTAGGAAAAAACGGAACTCAATTCCGAGTTCAGACGAGCTCAAACGAGCCCAAAACGTAAAGCCGAGCAAACTGCCCAACCAGGCGCGCGCCGCGCCCGCGTCGCGGCGCGACGAGCTCGCGACACACCTTCTGAATGCCTGCGCCCAGCTCCGCGGTGCGAAGACCCTCCGCGGCGCGATGAACACATCCTCCGCGGCGTGAAGACCCTCCGCGGCGCGACGAACACCTGCTCCACGCCCTCTCCGCGCCGTGAGGACCGCCACGAGCCCAACAGAACTCCCAGGTCGTCTTCTCCGCGCCGCAGTGCCCTGCCGTGCCGCGAGACCATCTTTTCTCGCGCCGTGATGCGCCCAACCCGCGCCGTGATGCACCATTAATATAAATACGTGCGGGACTCTTCAGAAAAAGGGGGCTCGACCAGGGGTAAAACCCTAGGTCCCGAAAACATCACGAACACTTTTCTCTTCTCCTCCCCCTCTTCTTCTTCTCCCATTTTTCTTATTCTTTTTACCTTTATTTTCCATTAATTTTCCTTTTTCTTCGGATTAAGCTTGTACTACGATTTCAACACGTGGACTTGGGATTGATTGTAAGCCTTTCTTTTTGGATTAATTCATGAATAATGGTTTATTTGAGAAGAATGATTATGTGTTTTGAATTCGTTCTACGTAGCTAATCCTTCGTGCTAGGGATAGGGGATTTATTGTTCTTGTTCAT